TTCCCATGTTTAGTATCTATGAATTTGTCTTCTGATGATCTAAACAAGAGTGTATATTATATGTGGGTACATAGGCAATATATTAGCGTTCTAAGAATCTTTAGTAATTTTGTATCAACACCTAATTGAGTTCCATATGCAAATTACCATGCTCTCAGACAAAGGGTCATAAAACTCCCCTGTATTTCCAACCTCCCGCTTGGAATTTCAGCCTTTCTCATTGGACGAGCCCATCCTGAGAGACGTTAATCTTCTCAGGCCTTAACATCCTGAGAGGCGTGAATCTTCTCAGACCTTAAAGGCCTCACATCAGTGACCCGCCTTCAGTCTGCGGTTCTGTTCAATTCTGAGAAGATGAGAATGTGAGCTAGAACGCTTCTGCAACTCTTAAGTCTGCACCAGGCTTCGGCCTTATCTTTACATTCACCAAATATCCTAGGATCTCAGCTGATGTCTCTCTTAGATCTCTTTCCACTGGGAAGAAACTCCCAATCACCGACCCACTCAAACAACGACCAAGGCAATGCAAGTATCGTACATTGAACTAAACGAAACAGAGGTTTAGTATAAGCTGTAGACCCCGTTATAAACGGCGCTGATGGTTTTACTCAGGTGGTTAACTGACTCTTTTCATAGCTTCATTCTCTGGTTTTCCTGATGGTTTCATCCATCAAGTCTCATTTGCCCTTTCCCCTGTATAAGTGATTGTTTGTTTGTTTGTTTGTTAGACTAGTTTGTGTTAGTGTTTAGTTAATAAAACTCTTGTGCACAAATTACATGAGTTTCTGATTCTGCCTTGCAAATTAATGTCCCTTTTCGATTTTGATCCTTGCTGCATGCTCTAATGCATTAATACTGTAAGAAAGTATTTTTTTGTGGCCACGAAAATAACTTTTCCTAGAGTTGATATGAACTTACACTGAATGTTCGCTGGACGAACAGATTAGTTGAGGGCAATTTAATTCTGCTACAGTTACTACTGGAAGCTGATATAAATAATTGTAATTTATCATAATTAATTAATTATTTATATTCATTTATCTTTTGAGCTAATTTGCTACAATATATAACACCTCCACAAAAGCAGCATGTTAGTGATCTCACACAGCTCTGGCAGTATACAGTAAAATTGCTGTAAATACAGACTTAAATTTTTTTTAAACCTGCTATAAAACCCAGCAACGCAGCTTTTAATTGAGTGTTTTGAATGCTTTAAAGAGCAATTTTAGATTGACATGTTTTAATGTTCTATTAATAACCATAAAAGGTACAGCTGTCATAAAACCAGAGAGAAAGGCTGCATAAAGAGGCGTTACATTTCCGACGAGTCACAATGCACAATGCACTGGGTCAGCTGGCCAATCAGAGCAGACTGTGCTTGTCGGAAGGCGGGGCTTTGTAGAAAACGAAGCGTTTGAGAGAGGCGGGGCATAGAGGACCTACAATAATGTACAGTATTTGAAAAATAATGTGTTTTTTGAACATTAAAGCATGTCAACATATTCTGTTACACCAAATACACCAAGTAATGATCTTTAAAAAGCATCATATGACCCCTTTAAAACAATGTCATTAAATCTTGGGTACAATACAATAAATATAGTCGAGTGTAGCCAATATTTTTATTTATTTGATTTATTATTTAAGTTGCATTTTCTGTATACTTTTCTTTTTGGACTGTTAATAATGTCAAAAAACAGTATGTGAGAGAGTCAGTGGTAATATCAATGCGTTCCTATTGGTTAGTGTTAGAGGAGCTCAGCTTAACCTGACAGTTAGCCTGCTCTGGACCAGGTTAGTTTCCCAGCATAAATTGCCAGAGTGACTGAGCTTGAGCTATGGTGAATTTGCTTTATGGAATCAAATCAAATGTAGGGACACTAATTTTAAAGTATTCTGGGGAGTTAAAGTCAGTTTGTACAATTTGAGTCAGTTCATTTGGGAGGACATGTTTATCATCACTACAAATATATGCACTTATGTTTCTCATCTGAGCCTTCAATCCAAAACAGGGTTGTTTTAATCAATAACTCTGGTCTACTGAATCTGCTTCAGACATAGAATGTGCTATTTATTATGTATTTTTGATGTGACAATTCAAATATGACAATTAAAACAACTGATTGGCTACTGTTTCCAAGAGTTTGCATGTTCTCCCTGTATCAGCGTGGGTTTCCACAGACCCCACAGGTTAGGTCATTTAGAAAGTTCAAATTGTGTTAGTGTGTTTGTGAGTCCTGTGATGGACTGGCCATCTGCCCAGGGTGACTCTATCTGACTCTATCAGGGTGACTTACCCTAGAAGATCATATAAGGAGAGAGAGATACTGTGAAGATTGTACCTGTCACCTGTTTATATAACACTTAAAAAATAATACAAAAAATAGGTTATAAAAATATTATCATTTCTAGTTTAAATTGAGATCCCTTCTCTTTATAACTCATTTATCCTCTGCCATTCCCAAGTCAAGAGTCGTATATATACTGACCCAATAGCATATCTAGAAAACTAGAGTCAATCAACAAGTTTAAGCATCAGTTACCCAGCATTAGTACGGTTTGACTACATTTATTTCAGAAGCATTTTGTCTGTAGACCTGTGTAATCAATATCTAACATGATAAAATTAATAAATATAAATAATGTAATCCATGTTATATTTCATCTGCAACAACACTGCAAACTTTTATAAAGATTGTTCATTATCTTTTGAATGCATCATTATGCAATCATATGAACAGATTTCTCCT